TCGTGTGGACGCCTGCTTGACTCTGCTCAATTTGCACAAGGGAAATAGATGGCTGGAACATCTCATCACTGGTGATGAAAAGTGGATCTACTACAACAATTTCCACAGGAAAGCACAGTGGGTCGGTCCAGGAGAAACACCAAAAGAGGTTCCCAAAGATGTTCACCCTAAGAAGGTTATGCTATCAATTTGGTGGGATGTACATGGGCCAGTACTTTGGCAACTGCTGGATGAGGGAGTTACTGTCACTGCAAATCTCTACACGCAGCAGCTCCGAGATTTGAAGCGAATTGTCGATCAGAGGGTAGGAAAAGTTCGAAAAGTCTACTTCCAGCATGACAATGCCAGACCGCACGTTGCAAGAGGTGAAGTCGGAGCTCGTGAAGTATGGATGGACCGTACTCCCTCATCCCCCTTATAGCCCAGACACCTCGCTCCTTCCGACTATTGGTTGTTCTCCGATCTATCTCGTTACTTAGATGGAAAAAGCTTCAGAACTCGCGCTCAGGTCGAGACCGAGTTGACGTCGTATTTTGCCTCGCGCCAGCCTGCATTTTGGAGGGATGGTATCTATAAGCTGCCTGAACGCTGGCAAGAAGTATCGACAACGATGGTAATTTACTCCTTGCATTGTGATTTCTGTAACAATTACAGAAATTTTGACTAAAGAATTGATGACAAAATTTCCCACAACCGTAATAATGTTGGTGAACATTTATCTTCTGATTTCCAACCACACTGTTATCATCGGCTAATTTTTCAAAAATAGGTTTTCTGAAGATCATTTCTCGTTGTTCTCTTTTCCAGGGGCTTGTGGACCGATATTTGAGAACACGGGCGACTTTTAAGTTCCTTCATTATCAACTTTTTGCAGATCTCCGAGGCTTTAGAAACTAAAAGACTAACGATTTAAAGAAAATACTGGAATCCGTCTGAAATTCGCCCCGTTGTTCCATTTTCTCCCTCCATAGCTATTCCAGGTCATTCTGTTGAAACGCGAGTTTCCAACATTCAATCTGGCCGTAAGTTTCTCATAATCGATGATTTGATAAGCGGTAGCAACCAACTTGAAATCAAATTTGGTACTTCCGTCGCACATCTAGAACCAGTTTTGCTCCGCCCGCTATCGCGCGCATCACACGGCAGGCTTTAGTGAAACTGAAAGACCCATGGAATATCAGCATGAGGTCCTCCATTAGCCACCTCACTATGAATGTGTTAGACCTTTCCCAGTTCCGCTGAATTCCATCGAGAATACGCGTGATAACGTTTGGAGCGGAACTGGCATAATTACAGTCTACATCTCGGAGCCTGATTGGGCGCGTCACCGGAAATAACGTGGCAGCCACCGCACTTGATAGAAGTTGCGCGGATAAGCTGTTTCCAACACGCTTTGCTGATATCTGGCGGAGTATTTTATCCACACGACATCTATCAAGTGCGGTGGCTGCCACGTCATTTCCGGTGACACGCCCGATCAGACTTCGAGATATCAACCGTATCTCACAACTGTAAACATCCCAGCATTCTTGAATTCAGATAATTTAGCGGTGAATAAGATTGCTGTCAGTCTCAAAATTAAAATGAAGTATGCCTATTTACAGTCGATATCTTGAGTCTGATTGGGCTGTCACCAGACAATGACGTGGCAGCCACGGAACATATCGTCCCAGCTTTTTCTTCATTCCCAATTTCTTCAGCCCAGATTCGATAGTGGAACTGTGAACTCCGAGTGTGCTCGCCATTTCCCTCGTAGATTGGAATGGATCCGTTTTCACCACACGCCGCAGCTCACTCAAGTTGAGTTCAGATGGGCGTCCGGACCTCTCCTCGTCTTCAAGAGTGTAGTCTCCCACCTTGAAACGTTTGTACCAGCGAACAATGGTCCTGTAACTGGGAGCATGGTCCTTGTACACATCCTTCATTTTGGTCTCGGCAGCCTTCATATTAGAGCCGGAGTGGTAGAGGAAAAGTGTGACATGACGCAGGTGCTGACGATCTGGGACAAAATCGTTCTCCATACTGCAAAAAGGGGAACTAAAAACCAACTAAGTGTTACTGATAGAAGCAGTATTACCTTGCCTGTTGTTGCTGACGCTGACGCTCAAATCCCGCCAAACTGAGAGGGGATATGCAAAATTCAAAATGTGTGACAAAACTTTCCCGCCAACCTCATATTTATCATTCACCGTCAGTATTCTCATGGTTCCGACATGACTATTTGCAAAATGAAGGCGAAACATCCAAGCAATTTGAGTAATAATACTTCCAGCGGTGACCCTTCTCTGCTTGTCTGTGGCTTATTGTCGGCTTTTGTCACTTATTGTAGCCTTTCAATTAGCCACCTATCTGGTCTTTCACCCCCATTTGAGAGGCAAGGACCCGCCGCCACGGTTGACTACGGTCGAGGATTTCCTCGACCATAGCTCTCTACCATGCGAGAGTAGTGCCGAGAGTGAACATCCGCGCGGAGAGCACAGACGGCACGCGCATGGCGAGTGTGAATGTCCGCGCGAGAGATCGTGTCTGACCGGGCAGAGAATCCTCGACGTGCCGTTGAGGAATACTCAAGCAATATTCACCCTGCCCGCCGCTGCTGCAGCGCATATGAAATCCGTTATAAACAGAGGTACACAAACACGAAACCGTATAATACTTTGCGGCTTACATGTGCTGTTCTGTGATAATTCCTTATGAGTCAACAATAGCACATTTGCTTTTGAATATCCCACACCTGCTTAAACTATGTTTAATATATGAACGCACACCCACACGGCACACTTCGAAGTGTGATGCACTCTGCCTTCATAGTTTGCACAGCTGTTGACCTAGATCTGCTGATGGCAATTCTTTCATTGAACGGACCTAATGAATATAGGCGATATATGGGAGAAGCTCAAATCTTAATCAATGTAGAAACAGATTAGGACGGACACTCATTTATTAGCCTTTCTAGCACACAGATCTGAAAGGTTTTCTCCTAGAATATTAACATTCAAAAAAGTTAGGAATTGAGCAATCGCGCACAACATGCAACCTGACCTACCATTCGCAGCGGAGCCTGCGTCTCTGTGCCAAAAACCCAAAGGCTGCCAACCAAGATCACAACCCGTGGCAAGCTGCAGAATCCCTTTAGTACTTCTGATCAAATGTATGAGCACCCTGCTGCACGCTGTGAAGATATTTTACATCTGCTTGGTTATTTTTCTTTTATCAGATCTGTCCCAACAACTCGAGAGTCCTGTCCGCAATTCCACACATATACAATACTGCTCCTAACATTTGGAACATCTACGTTGCGTTGCGACGGTTTTGTGGCGTCACAAACTTCGCACCGTCATAACTCCCTCGCAAGCGGGTAAAATGAAAGTGGCTTCAAAGCTTTGGAATCCTGTGAAGAGTCTAACCATGTACAAAACTACTGATTTGGTTGGGGTTGTAATAAGTTATTCATGAAAACTATTGTCGTTCCCATAGTTTCACAGCCTCGCCTCTCCTGATTTCCATTATCTCTCCAATCGGGACCAGCTCTTATGGCATGCTGAAAAATGTCTCCATTGAAGTGTGTTCTTTCATTAAGGCATCAGTATGAGTAAGGTCTGGTGGAATTCGTACTACCTCTTAACCAGTTTAATGTCCTGAAAATTATTGGTAGGAAGAGTTTTGTGCTGAACATGATCCCAGATCTTGTGATTCCTTGTAATAACACTATATGAGATGAGTGTCACTAGAATGGGTCTGTATTCCTTTTCCACGCACTACAAAATCTACAGCAAGCATCGTCGCGTCTGCATAACAGTAGTGACAAATCACACACTATTTGAGTCTAGGCAACTTCTTCATGCAACACGATTTTTTTAATTGCTCACATTGGTCAGGGATTGGGCATTTCTATAGTTGAAAGCTAAGCATGCGCGAAAGCGGGCTCATCTTCATGCTAGACAAGACAAGATAATTTATCAATCAGGACAAAAAGATTGCTACTGGTACCTAATGCAATGGTTATAGTGGTCAACAAAAGTGGCGAAGCCAAGTTGTCTCGCAATGTTGCACAAACATACATCTGGGTTTATCAAACATAGGATTCGGCCAGGAAGAGATGAATGTACACGAGTCTAGATTTGATATATTTTATATGGAAGAAACAGATTGAATTTGACTAGTATAGATTTATAGAATTCACCTAAAATTCCTAGAGTTCGGAAATCAAATGAGACAGCGGCCTGCCACCGTAACCTTCGCCCAACCTGTGTAAAGAACTTTTTCTATGTACTGCAATTTTCGCCGATACTGTGTGGTTATATTTATTCAAGCAAGTGAAAATGGCAAAACAGAGTCAAACAATTTCACTGCATAAAAGCGCTATCATTTCATGTGATGGCACGGCGACCTCTCGCCTCCAGTGCTCATGGCATGACGACTAGTGTTGCCAGAATGTGTTCTTCCTTGCGGGCTACCACGCTCACTTTTCATTGTACAAAGCGTCTCTTCTATAGGTGCATTGAATCCGAGTGTTTCCCATTATTGAACTGCCGGTGCATCGTATAGTAGTATCACTGCAAAAATTTCTGCCCACGCGCTCGGCTACGTTATATCTTCTCAAGTATCACAATCAAAGAAGTGCGAAAACAAACTACCTATCAACGGCTTTCTCCATTTTTATGCCTTCAGATGAAAACTAATCGTGAAGTGGCGCTCGAGAAAAAATTAGCCTCTCCGCCCGGATTTCAGCCTACATCTTGCTGACTCGTGCGATGCCTTAAAAGTGCATGTGTATCCCGCATCTAGATTTCGTGTGTGAAAAATTAGCCATTGTCAGTGCCACCGACGAAGCGTGGTCGGAGTTTCCTTGGGCTCTTACTCATCTCAAGGGCAATAACAGTATCTAATGAACCTGTAGATGCGATGCAAAGTAGACATTGGCTTAAGATTTAGTAGCGATCTCTGTACAACAATATTACCCATTATCAATATGCTATTGCTTGCTAAACATATCTATGATGCAGTCTGTGTTTCAACAAGAGCTGATGCCCGCTACTCCATTCTTACGCACCCCGCTCGCCAATCGCGAACCATTCCTCGAATATAATGTATGCCTTTCATAAGTTCCCACAAACTGTAAAGTTTGCCCTAGTAACAGCTGCTGCTCAAATAATTTCTCAAAAATGAAAACACGTCATTCACGCTTCTTTCAGCTGCATTCCATCAAAAATATTACATGCAGCATGGGGCTTATCTTAC